TGTACCGTTCGCAGAGTGGGCGTGATTTTACCGAAATGATCTGCTACAGTCCGGAAACTTCTCGAAAACTGCAGGCGCGGTTTGCGCCGAGAATTGTATAGTGTTTTGGGACGATAACAAAACTTGGGAAATGGAACGCGTGGCATTATGCACAATAAATGACAGAGCGATGTTCTACGCCACAAGATTGACCGCTGTTATAGGACCGGGTCTCGACGGCATATCCCACTGCCACCAGTTTCTATAGGACTGCGGGGACTGACAGCATACCGGCCAGCTATACCCACGACGAGACCCGCCGGAACCCGAGAGGTGATATACTGTCAGACCCCCAGTCCTAACACCGTATAACTCTGTAGGTCAACATACATGTCCGACGTTCTGCCACGATTACCAATATGTGCCCCATGCTGGGGAGTCAAGTTCGCGCTAGTTAATTGACCGATTGATTTTGAGCATTTTTTTCTTAAAGAAAAAGAGGGTCACTCACGTGTTACCAACACACCGATGTGGCCGCGACGAAGCTCCGTCGACCGACAAGTGCGTCAAAGATGATGCACTGCAGCGCAGCGACGGCGCAAAAGTCGCCCAGGTATGCCGCGCTGCGCGTTCGAAGTGCACATGAAATACTATCGCCGTTCGGAACGCCGTCCTTCCTCTCGTGCACGTGATAGACGGCACGGTGGCGACGAAATCCGCAGCCGGGCCTTGTTCTCTATATATATATATATCTGGTGACAAGCAGTCGCAGTTATGCACAAAAAGGAGCTGTTATACCCCGCTGTCTCAACGCGACGAGCTAGTCAGAAAGAACAGCGATCCCCCCCCCCCCCCCCCCGGTTTCTGCGGTAGCTTGTTGCATGCAGAACACATATTGTAAGTTTATGTTTAATATGGAGGATCAGCGGAGACTTCCGCCAAGAATGTCGAAAGTACTATATATATATATATATATATGTATATTTAGGGAAGAAGACGCACGTACGAAGTGATTTTATTGACGTTTCGGCCGCGGGTCCGGCCTTCATCAGACCCGCGGCCGAAACGTCAATAAAATCACTTCGTACGTGCGTCTTCTTCCCTATACGGATATATCTTACCCGGACCCAGCATCCCTTTTGTTTTATATATATATATATATATATATATATATATATATATATATATATATATATATATATATATATATATATATATATATATATATATACTGTAAACGAAAATAGGCCGAGATGGGAGTAAACCACCACAGCACTCCTAACGTAAATTCAGCCCGTACGACAAAGCACCAACTGATAAACAACTTGCGCTATATTTAAAAGAAGCATTGAATATTAGACCGGTTTGTGATAAAAGACATGTGTGTGTTGATGTGCTTATATCAGGCCACCGCAAATATGTATTTACGCCATGCATGTTTACTGCCTAATTACTAGTAAAAGAAGGGTCCTACCAGAGTTGCATGGAGGTCAGAATGTGGTGGGTGTATATGCCTGGCAACCGAGGCGTGGGTTTTTTCGTGCAGTTTTAGTCTCGTTATTTTTATTTCCCCATGCACAGAAATAGGTGTCCACTATCTACACAGTTTAAGTTACGGAGCGTTGGACTTAAACGAACGAGGCGGTTCCTGTTGCTCGCATGCATTGCATGGGCATGCGTGCCGTACGCCGTTTCTGTGCGTCTTCGCCTCGTTCGGCGCTCGCCTTCACGTTAGTCATTCGAAAGCTGCGGTCGCAAGGCGCAAAAGACTTATTTATGCCAACAGCCTTTATTTTTTTGTGAGACACATTCTTTGCCTCGCCGGTGGTCGGTGCTAGCTGGTAGAGCTCGCCACGGTGGCCTGCTTGATACCGGTGGCACGTTAGATGTTGCTTCCGGTGAAATACCGGTGACACTCCGAGAAGTCCCCGCCGGCGGAGTCGGGGCGAGCGCGTCACCGGCGCAACTCTGACACCGGTTGCCGGCCAGCCTGCCGCGGTCGAGCGAAGCCTACTTGGGACCGCTTCGAGGTTTTAGACGGTGAAACTCCAGGAGCAATCGCTGACGATCATAACAGCTTACTTTTGTTACCATCAAATTATTCTTCGAAATATTTTGTAACTCGGCCCCTTGAAGCGAGGCCTAGACTAGGGATTCCCGGCGTTTATTATTTCGTTGATGAATGGGACCGATGTCCAGCGTGGTGCAACGGTGCGAAATACCGTGAAACGTTCATCACTAAACACCATGCGGTCGTTGCAAACTTTCGCTGCACCGTCGACAGATGCTCACACGGTAAGCCACAAAAAGCACTGATGTTTCACACCAACGTGCAAACAGATACCCGTACATACACACGCACACACGTCACGACCAAAAAGGGTTCAATCGACCAAAAAGATGAGCCAATAGAAGTACGCAAGGGTCGCTATAGGTGCTCCCAGGCAGCTGCCCTCCTCGCTGACGAGGCAGACTGCGCCGGCGTATATATGCATCCCAGAAAGCGCACCATTCTCGTGTTCCCAGCCAAACTGAACCATTCGGCAGCTATCGGGCTTATAGCGCGCGCTGCCGACCTCTCGCGTAGGCTGGTCTATCTATGCAAGGCCTGCAGCGGGGCCTGCGGAACGTATTTCCTGCGAGCCTTGACCCAGACGCGGCAGTTCCCTCGGCCCAGTGGCCCAAGCCGCCTTTCGTGACCGGCACCGCAGGAAACGCTACAGCGGCCAGCGTGAGTGACCTTCGCGCGTGCAGGCCGTGCTTTCGGAACCACACTGGAAACTGAAAAGGTGTTTCTTAATTTATTTTTTTTTTTGCTTTTGTTTGCGAGTGTGAGCCTACAGACGCCTGAGCAGCCAGAGGACCAACTTTTTTAAACGTTTCGGTTTAGGTCAGCAGGCGGATGGGCGAGGACAACATGGCCGCTGTACCTTCACAAGAACTGGTGATTTTTTTTACCTTAAGCCAACAGCCATATGGACTCGTGATCAAGCCTGCGCGTCCTCCAGACGATGCGCGAACACGCCGAGGAGTGTCTTGAACGGACTCGTGTTCACAAAACGCGTCAATCGAGTCTTCACAACGGCATCATTATCAATAGCGCCACCGACGCCAGTTACAGACGTGGTTGAGAGAATCACTCTCGTGATTCTCTTAAGTGGTCCAAGTTCTGTCTCTAGCACTTGTTGTGCACTACTTCTGTCGTACTTACAATAAGATACTACATGTTCATGAACTGTGTACTACTTTAGTGCCACACAGTAGTCTAGCAGTACTTTTGGGGGGGGGGGGGGGGGGGGGGCATGCGAGATCATTGTGTCGTCTGATCGCTTCCAACGGGGGACAGAATGCAGACTGGCAAGCTACAAGGCAGCAATACGGATCGTTCGGCAAGTACGCGATGCGATCGCGAGGGGTTCGAGAAACCGTCACAACTTGTTGCCACGGCCGGCCTGGAGTACGCGAGTCTGCTCTCTTGCGACCCTTCAGGCCAGCCGTGCAGAGAAGGGCCAATGCAGCATCCGATCCGCGCTACGCCCGGGACGGATTGTTTCGTAGCACGCACCATAGCGGACCTTTAACGGGCAGCCGGCACACGCTGCTTATTAGCTGACACGGGAACTATAGAATTAACGCCGCACTGCAACGAAGAAAGCACTTTGGAAAAATACTATGCCAGGTGTCCTTGTTGCTTACGTGATTCAAGACAAGAAAAGCTGTTCTTCGCACACAATTCGCAGAAGGCATACGATACGAACGTAGGCGAGATAACCAAGTGTGCGCATATTTCTGGGAAGGCGAAGCAAGCATGGTGCACAGCTATTCACGCAGCAATCCATTTTTCCCAAGGCATAAGTCGCAACCGCAGAATTTGCCAATAGCACGGTAGGACCGAGAAAACAAGGCAGCAACAAGAACACTAGGAGGAACGACAGCGGAGAGGGAGACAACCACCAAGAATGAGAGTCGCTAGCTTTGGAGCCGGCCCGACAGTCACTGCCTGGAGAGATCGAAGGGGTCTCAACATGCCAGTCATTAATTACAATATTAAAAACTGTACACTAGTAAAAGTAGCTGGAAAGTTTTATTCGTTATTTTTTACCCAGTCAGACAGATCTCTGTCAGATATGTTTACCTTGAAGTACACGAAATGGTGAGACAGCACAGTCGTACAACCTGACACACACACACACACGCACAGACACACACAGAGAGAGAGAGAGGGATAGCTAGCGCCATCATGAGGGAAGGGAAAGCGAGCCGTCAAATGCGTGAGTGCAGTGATGTTTGTGTTGGCGGCTAGTTCTCCACATCATCGGTTGCCATCGCACCGCTTTCTAGCTTGAACGAGCTCCTAGTACTCTCCGATAAGCTTTCTGAGCTGCTTCCGCTGCACAATGAGCAAAATATTGTACCCTTCAACGGGTTGGACGAGCAATTTGGCTTGTAACGACTGGCGATGCATGGATCCGACCTGCAAGAGACTTATCGGCGTGCCCTCCCGACGTGGTCTGCGTCCTGCAGGAACGCAAGAGGTATCTGTGTGCGCTGCAAAAAACGCGCATGAGCGTCGCTGGGACACAGCCTGCGCCGTCTGCTGTGGTGCCCTCACAATGGCGGCAGACTGTAGTTCGCGTCAGCGGCGCGCCCTTTTTTCGAAAAGGCTCTATCAGAAAGGGCCCGCCTATCAAGTACTGTGGCCTCCCTCGAAGATGAGCACGTACCGTTATATGGGTGAGGCATAACAGGGCTGCACTCAGTGCAAGTACCGGACAAACACGGCAAACCACTGTTCTCCCGTGCAAACCAAGAGGAATCACTAGTTGGCAAAAACATACACATCACGGCCAATCAGTCACTGTGAAATGACCTCGCTAAATTTAAGCAGCGCAAGTGCTGGCGCTGCTTAATGTGTGGTTGGAACTCAACTCCACCGTTCTACTGTAACTTTTCGGCAAGAAAAGAAAAAAAAAGGAGGCCTGCCGAAGCGAGCGGTACAAGCGTGTATAAGGCGGGCACACCACGCCTGCCGACTGCTGCGCCACCCGGTTGCGCGAGGGCGACGAAGCGTAGCGAAGAGCACGCACCTGGTGGAGGAGGCGGACGACGGTGTCCCCGCAGGTCGTAGCCCCCGGGCGAGGCCCTGTGCACCATGGGCGCCGCCGCGTAGCCCGCTCCTGCTGGCGCCGACATGCTCGCCGGCGGCTCGAGCAGCAGCGGCTCGGAGGCCGGGCTGCGGCGGCCGAACGGCGACGCCTCGCCGCCCGCCGTCGAAGCGCCGCCCGGGGAAGCCAGCTGCCGGATCTCCTGCGAAAAAGAGCACGACCACGTCACGCTTCGGCTGCGCAGTTCGATGCCCCACGTGTTGCCCAGCTGGAAAAAAAACTCATTCCCACCGCGAAATGCAGCCATTCATTAAGGAGAAAACGGTGTAGCCCGCGTCAACATCTCCATTTTTCTAGACCAGTGAGCGAGGAGCGCATTTTTTTGCTTCCAGGAGTAAGGAAACACTGGTTGCTTACCAATGGATAACCCCCCCCCGCCATACCGCTGAAATCGTGGAGGCAGAAAGATACGCGGAAGCAGTTCTCGTTTCTTTTTCGCCGCGGCTGCAGAACGAGCAACGCTGCACCGGGCGGGTTTTACGACCCTTCGCGTAGACGCGACACGCACTTCCGGGCCCTTTGGGAGGGAGGCGAACCCCGACCAAGCAGTAAGACAACAAACGGGGGAGGGAGGGCGCATGCAAGCCGCAGGGGCGATCGGTATAGCGAGAGACGGGACGCTGTGCTACCGCCACGTCAGTGCACTCTGTAGCAACACCGCGCTACATTAATGACGATATAGGAACAATCGCGGCCACCGCATGCATCTGTGGGCACTTTCGAGTGCGTATCGGCCTGAAGCCAACGCTGTGACGCGAAACGTCCTCCGGCACACCTATCGATGCGTTGTACAGACGCGCTGAACGACTTCACGAAAGTGCCACAGGCATGCTAGTTATTTTTATTTGCCAAAGGGCGCATGCAGTGATTCATGTGTTTTGACATGTTCGTGTATCACTAACAAAAGAAAAAAAAGCTGCGGTTTACAAGGATGTGCGAGCACGCCGCGCCTGAACAGCGCCTATCTAATCTGCGGAAACGTATTTTGTATAGATTTTGACCTCTTGATTATCGCCGCCGGTTGCCGTTTTCCACGGCAAAAAAATTGTAGATAATGAAGGTCACACATATGACAAACAAAAAACAAACAAACTTGGAATATGCTTTAGGCCCGGAGCCCTCCACTGCCGGGCGTCTCAATCATATGGTGGTTTTGGGACGTTGAACCTCACATATCAAGCAATCAAAAAACAAATTCGCACTTAAATCAGTCTTTTAGGACAATTCGGATACAGAAACCTAGAATGAGAAAGCAAACTGAACACAAACTTCAGCCACCCAATTATGTAAAAAGGTGGGAACACACGTGTTGAATATAAGGATTGTTGCGGTACACGTGAACTTTAAGGGTACCGCGCAAGAGAAGCATGACGACAACAAATCCCCCTCCCCACTCACACTTTGCCTCGTCAGCCCCCCACTCATTTGGACGAGTTCTGTTATCTCTAGTTAACGCCCAGAGTTATGGCGACACAGGGCGGACACTTGTGTTGCATTACAAGAACTGCATGTTTACCACCCAAATGCGCCCCAAAATGCCTGAAACTATACACAGGTCGTAGTGAATAAGCACGTCACCTCACTTCATTTTATTCCTTGTATCCAATACGAAGCTTTTTTTTTTTTGGACTCGACCAACACAAGAGAGGAGGGGGGGGCTGTGTGAAACTTGCCCCCCCCCCCCCCCCAAGTGAACAAAGCTGCGGAGCACGCCTAACCCTTCAAAAGTCGTGTCGAGAACATCTGTAGAAAACATCCGGGCGGCCTGGATTTATTGCGTATCTACAAGGTTTATTGATTATTAGACACGTGAAGTGAAACAAAAAATTTATCTGAGCGTAATCGGCACCGCACGGCCTTCGACAGAAACGTATACAGTGTAGCCTCCGAGACTTTTGCGAATTCGAGACCTCACTTTTCGGTTTACGCTGTGTGGCAATACGTAGCAATGGAAGCTAGTGAAAATTTAAAAAAAGAAAACCAGTGCCGTTGTATAACGAGCTACATTAAAAATAAACGCCCATCATCTACAGCTGTGATTCGAACCGGAGCCTTTTTGAGTGCACTTTGAGGCCGGGCTGCGGCTACCCACATGCCCCATGAGAAGCGAGCATCCTACCCCTGGACCACTTTGGCAGAATCGCGCGCAACTCAAGCGACGACGCATTTCAGGCTACCAGTCTCAGCTTCACAAGCGGTTCAAGCTTCACTTTCTGTATGTAGTACACCGGTGCTGCGGCCAATCCGAACACACCCCTGTTGTAGTACTCTAGTAGTAGATGCGCGACAAACCGCCAGACAACGTCGGTCCTTTCTCTATTTGGCGCTACCGTTCCTACACACTACGCGAAGGCAACCTATAAAGATCTCTAGTAGACAGAAAAAAAAAAAAAATTGGTGCTCAGCTTGAAGGACGGGTTTCGCGTGCGATTGTGAAGCATGTACCCCGCTCTGTTTGTCGATGCCCTGACCACTGGAAGCGGCAACAAAGGGTCTGCTACAACCATTGGATCCTAAAACCCTCGAGTGACAGAGGCGCGGCTGGCAAGAGTGTTTACCCACGCGGCGCCGTTGCGCTGAGGGGGCTCAGAACGCGCACGGCACAAAGCGAGCCGGCCAAGGACTTGAGCGCGGCCTGCAAGCACTCGCATTGTGAAGAAACACGCCAGCACAAATGCGTTTCGAAAACATTATCGGGATCGCGCGACCCCTCCTCCTCCTCAGTTCTCGCCAAGGCTGAAACACGGCGTCAGTTGCGCACGATAGATCTGGCAAGGTGACGCCACGCGAGGCCCTCGGGGGAGAACCCCCTGGAAACCTCGCCGCGCAGCTTTTTCTACAATGGTCGACCGGGGCGCACCGGCACAGACGCTTGGGCACGAGAACTTTCCGCAGTTAGAGCGCAGCTCGCCTTCGAGGCATACACGAAGCAGAACTGCCCCGCCGCGGTGGTCTAGCGGCTAAGGTACTCGGCTGCTGGCCCGCAGGTTATCCCGGCCGCATTTCCGATGGAGCCGGAAGTGTTGTAGGCCCGTGTGCTCAGATTTGGGCGCACGTTAAAGGACCCCAGGTGGTCGAAATCTCCGGAGCCCTCCACTACGGCGTCTCTCGTAATCGTATGGCGGTTTTTGGGACGTTAAACCCCACATATCAATCAAACACGTAGCAAAACTGGCCACGTCAGCCATTAGCCAAAGAAGCGTGCAAACATATAGCTGCTGAAATTGTCCACTTACTGTGCCTTAAGCAAGGTGCCATTTTACGACGCCGGAGCGAGACGTCAGTGAAGCACGAAAAGCACTGGCCGGGGGCTTCGGAATTATTACCACACGAGGTCGCGGCAGAGAGCCAAGTTCCGTTCCCTCGCATACGTCGATGCGAAGAGTATACGCTTTGCTGATTGCCACGAGTTCAGTAACTTGAGCGCGTGTGATATCTTTGACGCGAAAAAAAAGCAATCTTCATCAGGCCTCGCACACCCACTTTGTGCGCGCATGCGCGTTTGCCAGATAAGTAATCACACCGACCTTTGGAAAGTCGTACCGCTACTTACGAACGATCCCGCCTGTAGGTGGCAGCGCACGTTGGCAGTTGCGCCCCACCACGGTGGTTGTGGCGCTCGGCTGCTGACCTGCAGGTCGCGGGATCGAATCCCGGCCGAGCCGGCTGCATTTTCGATGAAGGCCAAAATGCCTGATGCCCGTGTACTTAGATAAATGATATATAGGTGCACGTTAAAGAAGCCCAGGTGGTCGAAATTTCCGGAGCCCTCCACTACGGCGTCTCTCATATCCTGCTTTCAGGACGTTAAACCCCAGCAAATAATTAGTTTATGAGTGCGTTATAATGATGATAAAAATGTCTATTCACATACAAATGTGTACTTTCCCCTGTATTGTAGTTAGTTCTCTGACGTAACATTTTCCGGGTTTCTGTATTTTACATATTTTTTTCTGATCTTGCTATAAGTTTACTGATTTTGATTGTAACGCGAAATTTCAACATGTATCTTTCAGTTATGTTTGAACTTTTGGAACAAACCTTTGTGTGCCTAAAAAAAGAAGAAAAAAAATGTTTTTTTTTCACCGCATCTGAGCAAATGTACGGGTGGAAGTCAGGAAGAGGTAATCTGCCTTTAGCCCCTTCAACCTTGGAAATGTTCTTTTTACCTAATAAAGTGACTAAATAAAAACAATAATGAATGAAATTTTACGTGCTTAAATAAAAAAATATATTATAAAGCACGCCGTCACGGAGTATGGATTACTTTCGGCTACCTATGGTTCTTTAACGTGCACCTAAAGCCTGCGGGTGCGCTTTGCATTTCGCCCCCATCGAAATACGACCGGGAATCGAACCCACACCTTCGAGCTCAGGAGCAGCGTAATGGGATAAACGAATTTGCCTTCAGCGCAATAACAACACGCTCGAGGAGACGGGTGCGAAGTGAACACATTCCGTTGAACATATGCAGAACTTAGCCGTAATAAACTGCGGTCTTCAAATTCAGGAAGTGAACTTTTTTTGTGTTGTCTCGACTTATGAAAACGAAAAAACAAAAAAAAAACAGATGAATACGGTGGTTCCGCATTTCCCACCAGGGGATGCGAGGAAGTGTGTGACGTCGCATTCAAACACGACAACGCCGCAGATCTCCGCGTCGTCGCCACAACTGGTGGGTGTTGTGTGGCGACATTCCCGGCTCGCTTGCAAGCTCTCCGCTTCACCACACATGAACATAGCGAATGCGACAACTCGAAATGAGACCAAAGTCCCGGCGCCGTCCGATGGATGGCCCACCCAGCTACTCAGCGAGCCGGCTGCCAAGTGCAGGACAGCGCGAGACAGAAACGGCCGCCGGAAACAGTAGAAAGGGGGGGAGCATGACGTCACCGAGTTACGTGTTCGAAACGGGGCGCCCACGTCACAGCCGTTGCGGAGGTCGTTTTCCCCGCGAAAGGCGGCGATCGACGCGCGGTGGCCTTCACGTGTCGACCCCCTCCCCCTCCTCCACAGCTTCTTGGCTGCGCGGCGGAACACGGCGTCAGAGCGACAAAGTTTCCCATAAAGAGCAAATAGAAAAAAAAAAAAGCAGACCCGCGCGCGGAGAAATCGCGGCCGCTACGTCATCCGGCGGCGAAA